AATTGGTTATCTGCGATTTTAATATTAGAGGACTTAGGGAACTTACAGCCAAAGGGTGCAATGCAGTCTCCCACTGGAAATCAGAGCAAGAACTATGTGTCACGTTAGTCTCATGGTCACATTCAGGATACATACACAGCAGGAGGTGCTCATGGTGCCACGTGCAAGAAGTAGGTGAAGGTTACCCCATGTAATTGGAGGATTAACAGAGAGCTGGTTGAGTGGAACTCCTCCAGAGAAGCAGAAAAGTCATAGAATCATCTCGTAGAATGGCCTGGGTTGAAAAGGACCATAATGGTCATCTAATTTCAAGCCCCCTCCTATGTGCAGAGTCTCCAACCACCATACCAGGCTGCCCAGAGCCACATCCAGCTTGGCCTTGAATGCCTCCAGGGAAGGAGCATCCACATCCTCCTTGAGCGACCTGTTCCAGTGCTTCACTACCTTCTGTATGAAAAATTCCTTACTGATTCCCAGATTCATTACACGTCCTTACACATTCTAGAAGTTATTTTAGAAATACATTTTAAAGCAATCCTAATTTTCTTACTTATTCTCCCTCCCAGAGATATTGACTGCTTGAGAAAAAGTCGGAAATTATAACATATCTCTTCCAATACTATTTCATTAATTGAATCATTATGTGGCATCATACAATTACTTGCAAGTCTGTTGTTTTCCAATTTAATGATATTTCAAAAGATGGGCTATTAATTGTCCCTAAATTGTTAAATAGCTGTGCCTTTGAAGTGTCATCAGAATTCACTGATAATAATGAGAGACACCTGGAAGATAATGACTTTAAGCTGCTCCACAAGCACTCATTAATACTTAATGCTTGCAATTTCTGTTATTATGATATGAAATGAGGAAGGGCAGGATTTAGAAGTTCCCTTGTTATGAAACAACCTCATTCCAAAACATGACAAGTGATGTCACTATTTTGCTTCCCACATAAGGCCATGATTTTTAAGTTGGATAAGAATTTGATTTTCATTTACGATGTGATGCACTTTATTTATTAAACATTAATATATTTTGGGAGATTGTGATGAGTTCATGCTATGAATGCTGCGTTGTAGCTTCACCTCAGCCTGGAGAAGAGAAGGCTGCAGGGTGACCCCATTGCAGCATTTCGCTGCCTAAAGGGAGCCAACAAACAGGAGGGGACTCAACTCTACACAAGGGTAGATAATGGCAGAACAAGGGGAAATGGTTTGAAGTAGAAGGAGGGAAGATTGAGGTTGGATGTTAGGGGAAGTTCTTTACTGTGAGAGTGGTGAGGTGTTGGAACAGCAGCTGCACAGAGAGGTTGTGGATGCCCTGTCCACCCCTGGAGGTGTTCAAGGCCATGCTGGATGTTGCCCTGGTCAGCCTGGTCTAGTATTAAATGTGGAGGTAGCCCTGCCGGTGGCAGGGTGGTTGTAGCTTGATGATCTTTCAGGTCCCTTTCAACCCAAGCCATTCTACGATTCTATGATTCTATGATTCTGTGACCCTGCATTTTTGTAATATGTCTGGAATGTCCAGTGCCTTAAATTCTAAGGAAAACTTAAGAGCCCCTCTTAAAAGTTACCTGAACAAGGCTGAAGAAGGTTGCGAAACAAAGACGCTAAAACAGATGTCCTAAAATCTCTGTTCTCATTGTCTCAGATCTCATGTTCACTCCTAGATGACCCCCTCTCTTATTCACAAAATTGTACAGAACGAAACAAAGCACATCATCCCGACTTCTCTAAATTATTGTTCTTGCACAAGATTTTGACCATACAGTAGTCAAGTTGCATTACTGAAATCTTGAAGTGCAATTAAATAACAGATGCCCCAGTGCTGGTGCTGGGTACTAGGTGATTGAAAGATGCCATCAGTCATCAATCTAATACCCACTGACTTTGTTTCATACCTGTTTTTAAAGCTGGGGAGTGGCAGTGCAAAGCAAGCAAAATTAAATCCCTCAGTATCAGGCTTGTTTTGTGACTGTGTAAGACCTGGAGCACAGAGGGTGTTTCATATCCTGTGAGCAGTTGGAGAAATGTATAAAAGCTCACTCTACTCCAGACCTCTCTATCAACTTCTCCTTCTTGTTCTCCTTGGTGAACAGGGTAAGTCCTATTCAACTCAACTTTTATCCTTGTCGTGCTTTTTTTTCCTGTTAATGCTAAATTGTACATCATACTACAGAATGGGAAGTCGGAGATCTGCAAGAATTGCAAGGTCCTAGAACAAAATTGGGAGATTTTGATGCCGTATTGACTATCAATTTCCCAGGCATGTTAGTAACAAATTGGTACTATGAAATGTAGAAATGTCAGATGGAGCATTGTATTTACCTCCTTGTTGAAGAGCAAATATTCCCATCTGGAAGTTGAGAGCTACTATGGAAACGTCTGGATATATTCAACAGTACTTTTCATAACTTAATGTAAATAGACTTCCAAAATACAGTCTGTTTAAGCTGGTCATATAAATTAGATTAGTTATGATTGAAGCAAAAGCAGTAATATTATGTGTAGGATTCATTACATCTCTGAGTCTAAACATGGCATTTAGAGTTTCCTGACAGTAAGCAGAGTCTAGGATGTGGCTGACACGACTAGATGTAGGTTTGCTTTAGAAGAATAATTCTGGGAAGTGATGACATCCATTAAGCATAAAGCAAGCACCACAGTCTACAATGAAAATCCACTTTGTGCTGTCTGTTGCAGACTCATAACGACCCCAAGAAGGATGTCTAGCTGCATGGAGTCCTGCAGACCCTATGGGGTGAGCTGCCCTCAGCCAATTGCCGAGAGCTACAATGAGCCATGTGTGCAGCAGTGCCCCGACTCCAGAGCAGTGATCTTGCCTCCACCAGTGGTGGTGACAGTCCCCGGCCCCGTGCTCACTTCTTTTCCTCAGGAGAGCATTGTTGGATCGTCAGGCCCAGTCGGAATGGGGGGCTCCTTTAGCTCTCAGAGCTCCCTGGGCTCTGGGGGCTCCTTCGGTCTGGGAGGGTCTCGAGGTTATGGGAGCTCCTTTGGCTTGGGGGGTTCCCGGGGCTATGGGAGCTCCCTGGGCTCTGGGAGCTCCTTTGGTTTGGGAGGCTATGGAGGATCCTGGGGCTCTGGGAGCTCCTTTGGTTTGGGAGGCTATGGAGGATCCCGGGGCTATGGGGGCTCCTTTGGTTTGGGAGGCTATGGAGGATCCCGGGGCTCTGGGAGCTCCTTTGGTTTGGGAGGCTATGGAGGATCCCAGGGCTCTGGGGGCTCCTTTGGTCTGGGGGGCTATGGAGGATCCCAGGGCTATGGGAGTTGCCTGGGTTATGGGGATGACATGAGCTACGGGGGCTCCCTGGGCTATGGGGGCCAGTATGGCTCCAGTGGCTTTGGCAGTTGTGGCAGGTCCTACAGCTCTGGCCTCTCTTCCTGCGGTGCTGGCTATTCCCTCCCTGGTGCCCAGCGGTGGGGCAGATCCCGCCGCGGGAGCTGCGGAGCATTCTAAAGCCAGTGCCATGATGCCCAGAGCCAGAGACAGCCCTGAAGCACGGACTGCAGCAGATGGACATGGAGCAGGAGCTGAGGGGACTGGCAGCACCCATCAGCTGTCCCAGCATGGGGACGGGAGCATGCTGTGTGCCCCACGCCTCACTCACCTGTGCTACCATGAGCCCTGGCTGCAGCTTTGGTGTTCCCTGCATCTTCCTTCCACCTCCGCTGTCCCCTGGATCCTGAGCAGGGTACTGTAGCCTCAGTGCAGTCCCTGTGTTGATAATTTTCCCTTGGACCACCTTGAGTTTCTGTAACTGCCTGCTATGCTGTTGTGTCTCAATAAAGCCCTGTGGTGTTGCATGTGAGCCTCACTGCTTTTCCTTTGTCCCTTGGACTCCTGTGGTTATCCCGGCACAGGAGGTGAATTACTGTGATCTGTATTTCATCCAGTCTCTAAATATGACGTCCTTGCCTAAGTTTACCACTATGTCTACAATCAGAACAAGTTGCTTGTCATTACTCTTTATCTAATCAACAAACCCTTCCCACATCAAAGATCGCTATTTACTCTCTTCACTTGCTAGCTCTATCTGAGCTTAATAACACTGTCATTTAAATGCTCTTCTAATTGTAAAATGCCTTTTGGGGGTTCCCATGGGAACAAACAATTACTGCAGCTTTTCTCAAGCTTGTCAGGAACAAAGGATATCAAAGCAGTTTAGAAGCAGTGACTAACTATTTATGCAAGTGAACTGTTTCGTCATAATGCAATGCACATGTCTAAGTGGTGAGTAATAGCATCAGGCTGAATAGGGAGGCTTATCTCTCATCATATCAGAGCCAGGTTTGTAGCCGCCGGGGCTGGTCAGCCCTGTCCCTGCCCTGCTTTCCCTTTCGTCTCATCGAGGCAGTCTACCCCTTTCCCAATATGTCTGCAGACATCTTCAGTAGTAACCTGGAGCCTGCAATAAAAACTTCCATTCTTTCCAGTGTCTCTACAGGTTTTCTAGCAACCAGGAAAGATAAAGTCATTAAGGTGAATTTTACGGGAGTGAGATTTAAAGAGTTGACAGGTGATGTTTTAAAAACAGGCTATGAATGTCTTAAAAACAGGCTATGACAGCAGTCTGCAAATATATTACTGTCTCAAAGCAACTCATAAAACATGAAATGAGTGATGAAGTGTTTATTAGGGGAGAATATAGAATAGAGGAAAATATCTGAAAATATAGAGAGAAAATGGTATGTGGTGAAATATTTTGTCCAATAAAATAAAAGGTATAAAGACATGACAACATAAGAAGGCTATGCATGGGAAAGCAAAATAAGGCAAAAAATTTAACGCAGAAGAGATATAATAATAATAACAATGGAATAAAGCATAATACAGGAAACAAAGAGAATGACAACAAAAACAGTGAGAGAAGCATATAATTTCTGTGCTTGCAAAAGACAGTGTAAAACTCAAGCACAGATAAATACAGTGTGCAATACAAAGAGGAATAAAAAAAAAAAAGAAAAAAATACACTACATTAAATATTAACAGATATACAAGAAGTAATAAAGACCATTTTACGATAAAAACTGATGAAAGAGGAGTCACAGAAAAATATGCAGAAAGGAACAAAAAAACATATTACAAAATACCAATGTCGGCATTGAACTTGAATACCCCTAATAAGTATGGTGTGTGCCAGATAAAAGAGCTGCAAGGACAGATCTAGCAGGGCCCACAGGTGTCCCAGAGCTTCCTGCTGTAGCGGGGCAAGGCGCAGGGGTTGCAGGCAGGAGAAGCGTAGGGTCTGCCAAAGGTGCAGAGGCCGGCCGAGCCCTGAGTGGCCCCGGCGCCATAGAGGCCCCCCAGCCCCAGGGAGCCGCCAAAGGCGGGTGCTCCGGAGGAGCCCACCACGGCTTGCTGGGGGAAGGAGCTGAGGATGGGGCCGGGGAAGGTGACGACGACGGGCGGTGGCTGGATGAAGGCCGTCGAGTCGGGGCACTGGCGCGCGCACAGCTCGTTGCAGCTCTCAGCGATGGGCTGGGGCACGGCGACGCTGGTTTTTGGTGGGCACAGGTCGTAGCAAGACATCTTGGTGTGAGAGAGCTGAGCCTGCAATGCAAAGCCACCAAAGGAATTAGGAGAGAGACCATGTCCTAGCAGAACCAAGTGAGTGACCAGGGACTGCTCTACATGCAGCAGGTCCATAGCCTCCGTCACTGTTGTAGGGCCATAGCCACCCCACAGCATCTTGCTCTCCTGCCAAGGAGACCCACTCCAGTGCCAGCCAAAGGAGGGCCAGTCACTCACCCTTTTCCCAAGCTGAGCCAGGAAGCAGTGGATGCTGGTGCTCACACAGGGCAGTGCTTTTATGGGGGCTGGTGAACATGGGGAGGAGCTTGGGGGCACATGGCTATCAGCAGCCAAACCCCAATCTCCCATGTGCGTTCCATGGGGCTGTTTTACTGATCTTGTTTGCTTGGCTACCCCCACCCATTCCATCAGCACCTACAATTACCCTGCTGGGACACTGGCCAGCCCTCTGCTAATGGACCAATTAGACCTGCTGCCCTCTCATCCTGTGCCTGCATAAGAGGGAAGGGAGGGTGAGAAATGCTGAGTGGCTGTTCCTTGCATGCCACAGCACTTGCCCAGGGTCATAGTTTTGCTGTGTCCACATGCCACCTGTGCAGAGCCTCAGGGAGGAGCAGGGTCACAGCACTGGGTAAGGAGAAGGTCTGGCCCAGGCATCCTGCATGCCAGCGTCTGAGTGACAAATACTCCTTTCTTGTTATCTGCAGAGGCGCGAGGTGACGGAATGCCCAATCAAAGGCACTCCTCTCAGTCATTCTGCTTAGCACTACACGGTCAGTCCATGAAGCAGGAAGAGGAGGGAGGGCAGTAAAGGGGCCTGTCCTGGTCCAGCCGGGGACTGCTGACACAGGGAGAGCGGGAGCAGGCCAGCCTGGCCTCGGCATCAGGGAGTGTCGCCTCTGCCCATTGGCCCAGAGGCTGATGAGCCATGCCTCATCCTGGATAAAAGCTGGGATTGAGGGGAGCTCTCCCAAGCACTGCTCTGGCCTCCTTCTCCTTGGGAACAGGGTAAGTCCAAGAGCAATTCTTCTCCAGACTCAGGCCTGTGCCTGGAGTGCGCCTGAGCTGTTGCCATCTGCTGCTGCGTGACACTGTCTGCCCTCTTGCAGAGCTCCATCCCATCACACCAAGATGTCTTGCTACGACCTGTGCCCACCAAAAACCAGCGTCGCCGTGCCCCAGCCCATCGCTGAGAGCTGCAACGAGCTGTGCGCGCGCCAGTGCCCCGACTCGACGGCCTTCATCCAGCCACCGCCCGTCGTCATCACCTTCCCCGGCCCCATCCTCAGCTCCTTCCCCCAGCAAGCCGTGGTGGGCTCCTCCGGAGCACCCGCCTTTGGCGGCTCCCTGGGGCTGGGGGGCCTCTACGGCGCCGGGGCCACTCAGGGCTCAGGGGGCCTCTGCACCTTTGGCAGACCCTACGCTTCTCCTGCCTGCAGCCCCTGCGCCTTGCCCCGCTACAGCAGGAAGCTCTGGGACACCTGTGGGCCCTGCTAAACTCAGGCCCTGCCTGCTCCCACCAACACTAGCATCCACTCATTCCTGAATGCCTGGGCCTGGAGTGTTGAGGAGTGCTGAGCATCTCCTGCTGCCACTGAGGCCTGAGCCACTGGCAGTGCTGGCACCTTTGCTTGCTTTGCCCACATCTCCTGCCCATTCCTCTTCTTCCATGGACTTCAACCTGAGTCTGACCTGCCTTTTTTTCTCTGTCCCCATCTCCATCTGATCTGGGAACAATAAAGTTTTCCTGCATTCACAAATGCCTTCTCCCTCTCTTTGTTGTTGTTTCAAATAAGTACCGGGTTGTTTTGTGAAGGCTGCGGTCGGGTAAATTCTGCTGATGAGGGACCCACGTTTTGCTTAGTATTGTGGGAGTGTTGAAAGTAAATATGGCAGAGGGGTTCTTTTGGTCAGGCTTTGGGAGCTGTGGAAGGAACAGGGAGGAGGACGGTGCTGACCAAACTCCCTTGCCTTTCCTCCGCAGATCTGCAGTGGGCCTGCTCTGCCAGTTGCGCTGCGCTGTAGAAGTACCGCATTTTTGACTGCATACTCTCTTATTTGTCAGAAATTCAGCTCAGTGTTTAGCTGTGTAAATGATGGAGGGTGAGGGAAAGTCTTAATACTTCATGAGAAGAATTGTACCTATGTTGTAAGGACTAATCTCTGCATTGAGATTAGCAGAGATGCTCTCCAGAGAAATAGTATGGTCCATGTCCAGGAAGAAAGTTTCAAACTGTGCTGTCGGGTGCTGGAGCCTTTATCTTCAGAACGGAATCCCTTCTAATTCATGATTCCCAATAATTGTCTGTAGTGGCTGTCAGCAGAACAGCTTGAACACGCACTTGCAGAGGATGATTTTCTAGAAGTTGCCTCACAACTTAGTCTGCCCCTTCAGATTGGGCATGGAGGGGATATTGCTGAGGCCATGGGAGCTGGGGAGGATCGGCAGGAGGGAGGACTGCAGTTCTCAGATACCCTGGGGCTGCATTTCCTGCTGGAGAGGGAGAATCCGGCATTCAGGCAGGGCTTGTGCAGATGGGCAACAGTAGAGTGTGAGCCGGAGCTGGTGTGGCCAGGGCCTTTGACCAGTGGAAACACAGCCAGTCTTGGCAGGCGGCTGAGAGCTTGTTCTGGGCCAGACCGAGGGACCATGCGTGGCAGAAGGGAGCCCTGGGGCGGCCATCGCGCCCGGGAAGAAAAGCCCAAGATTCAAACATTGGATGCATATTACTTTTATTGTAAAGACAGGAAAGGACACAACATCAAAGACATACTAGAGTCCAAGGCAGGAAGTAGTGCAAAGGGCTTCAAAAGAAGTGTTTCCGAAGGCATCTTCAAGTCAGTGGACAGCGCAGGTCCCAGTTCAGGGCTGTAAAAGACACAGTGGGCCTTACAAATTAGCAGAGAGGATGAGGAATGAAGTGGTGAAGGGTCTTGCATCTGGGTTTAGCAGGGCCCGCAGGTGTTCCAGAGCTTCCTGCTGTAGCGGGGCAAGGCGCAGGGGCTGCAGGCAGGAGAAGCGTAGGGTCTGCCAAAGGTGCAGAGGCCGGCCGAGCCCTGAGTGGCCCCGGCGCCGTAGAGGCCCCCCAGCCCCAGGGAGCCGCCAAAGGCGGGTGCTCCGGAGGAGCCCACCACGGCTTGCTGGGGGAAGGAGCTGAGGATGGGGCCGGGGAAGGTGACGACGACGGGCGGTGGCTGGATGAAGGCCGTCGAGTCGGGGCACTGGCGCGCGCACAGCTCGTTGCAGCTCTCAGCGATGGGCTGGGGCACGGCGACGCTGGTTTTTGGTGGGCACAGGTCGTAGCAAGACATCTTGGTGTGAGAGAGCTGAGCCTGCAATGAAAGCTACAAGAAGAGGAGCTATAATTTTGGCGATGCCCTAGCAGAACCAAGTGAGTGACCAGGGACTGCTCTACATGCAGCAGGGCCTTCGCCCCTGTCGTTGTTGCAGGTCCCTAGTTACCCCCACAGCATCCTGATCCCCTGCCCCAATGATCCGCCCAAGGACCAGCCAAAGGAGGGATGGCCACTCACCGTATTCCCAAGCTGAGCCAGGAAGCAGTGGTGGATACTGGTGCTCACACAGGGCAGTGCTTTTATGGGGGCTGGTGAAGACGGGGAGGAGCTGGCTGTGGTGGGGGCACGTGGCTATCAGTAGCCAAACCCCAATCTCCCACGTGCGTTCCATGGGTCTGTTTAGCTGACGCTGTATCCTCAGCAGCCCCCACCCGCTCACTCAGCCCCTACAATTAGCCTGCTTGGTAGCTGGCAAGCCCTCTGCTGATGGGCAAATTAGGCCTGCTGCCCTCTCATCCTCGGCCTGTGTAAGATGGGATGGCGGGGTGCATAACAAATGCTGAGTGGCAGTTCCTTGCATGCCACAGCTCTTGCCCAAGGGCTTGCTTTTGCTGTGTCCTCATGGCAGCTGTGCAGAGCCTCAGGGATGAGCCGGGCACAGCACTGGGCAAATGGAAGGTCTGGCGCAGGCATCCTGCATGCCAGCATCTGAGTGACAAACGCATTGCAGTTGTTATCTGCAGATGGGTGAGGTAAAGTGACACCAAATCAAAAGCACTCCTCTCGGTCATTGCCTGCTCAGCACCCCGCATTTGGCCTATGGAGCAGAAAGAAGAAGGAAGGCGGACAAGTGGCCTGTTCTGGTCTGACCATGGGCTGCTGAGTCAGGAGGGCAGGAGCAGGCCAGCCTGGCTTCAGCCTCAGGGAGTGACACCTCTGCCCATTGGCCCAGAGGCTGATGAGCCAAGGCCCAGCCTGGATAAAAGCTGGGATTGAGGGGAGCTCTCCCAAGCACTGCTCTGGCCTCCTTCTCCTTGGGAACAGGGTAAGTCCAAGAGCAATTCTCCTGCCCTTCACTAAGGACAGCTTCAGGCCCCTGTGCCTGAGCTGTTGCCATCTGCTGCTGCGTGACACTGTCTGCCCTCTTGCAGAGCTCCATCCCATCACACCAAGATGTCTTGCTACGACCTGTGCCCACCAAAAACCAGCGTCGCCGTGCCCCAGCCCATCGCTGAGAGCTGCAACGAGCTGTGCGCGCGCCAGTGCCCCGACTCGACGGCCTTCATCCAGCCACCGCCCGTCGTCGTCACCTTCCCCGGCCCCATCCTCAGCTCCTTCCCCCAGCAAGCCGTGGTGGGCTCCTCCGGAGCACCCGCCTTTGGCGGCTCCCTGGGGCTGGGGGGCCTCTACGGCGCCGGGGCCACTCAGGGCTCGGCCGGCCTCTGCACCTTTGGCAGACCCTACGCTTCTCCTGCCTGCAGCCCCTGCGCCTTGCCCCGCTACAGCAGGAAGCTCTGGGACACCTGTGGGCCCTGCTAAACTCAGGCCCTGCCTGCTCCCACCAACACTAGCATCCACTCATTCCTGAATGCCTGGGCCTGGAGTGTTGAGGAGTGCTGAGAATCTCCAGCTGCCACTGAGGCCTGAGCCACTGGCAGTGCTGGCACCTTTGCTTGCTTTGCCCTCATCTCCTGCCCATTTCTCTTCTTCCATGGACTTCAACCTGAGTCTGACCTGCCTTTTTTTCTCCATCCCCATCTGCAGCTGATCTGGGAACAATAAAGTTTTCCTGCATTCACAAATATCTTCTCCCTCTCTTTGTTGTTTCAAAAGTGTTCCGGATGGTTTTGTGATAGCCGGGGTATATAAAATCATGATGATGTGTGTCCCAACTCCTCTTAAAATGGTGTGGTTGTGAGGATTGGATATGGCAGAGAATGCCTTTTGGTGGGCTGCAGAAGCTGTGGAAGAAACAGAGAGCAGGCTGGTGCTGACCGTGCTCCCTTACGCATCCTCCTCAGCTCTGCAGTGGCACCAGCTCTGCCAAGTCATGCTGCTCTGTAGGAGCACCTCTTGAGCTCAGGCTCAAAGCTCAGGGGAGGCTGGAGAGTGGCCATTGGCAAATACTGCCTTTGATTAATGCACTGCCAGTTCCTGGCTGGAATACAGCCTTACAGAAATACACGTGTGCAGGGGGCCACAAAAGTGAAGCTTGAGGTAGCCATGTGCTCTGAGGCTGTGATTGTTGGGAATGTGGATGGCATCAGCCATTACCTGGAAGGAGGCTGAGCATGCAACACCTGTCTTCATCTTTCTGGTATCAGGATGTGCTGACATCCATTCAAAGTCAGCCTACCGGTGTCCCGTGAATCAAAGTCATCAGTGGCATCCAGGCGGACATGCTGGGATCACAGGATAGATGGTGAGCACTTGTTCTAGAACGGGGTGAATCACTGGATCTAATACTTAGCAGCAGGGAGTTCTAGGTGGGTCTGTGTGACATGAAGCTCAGATCCCACTGAGGTCAGGGACGTCGCTGCATCCTCTTTTTCCTCTGTGGACTGATTGAGTCACTTGCGATCTTTGAGGGAACGTCTGAATCTAGGCTACGATTGAATGCAGTTTAGGAAGTCTATGGCCTTAATAGCGGGAGATCTCAGTGACAGAAGCTTTAAAGTAAGATAGAAGGGGAGATAATAAGAAATGTCTGCTATTTACCAGAAGCATTTTTGACGGTACCCTCTATAATTTGTTAGAAATTCAGTTTGGTGTTGAGCTATGGCAAAGAATGGGGTGTGAGGGAAAGGATTAAGTCTTCATGAAGGCAATTTTACCCAAGTATAGTGTTAGGAACCGTCTCTCCAATGAGAGGATGGACAAGTACAGATGCTCTCCAGGGAAATAAATAAATAAATTCTGAGATTCTGTGATTCTGTGACCACGTGCGGGAGAAGAAGGGAGCCCTGGGACAGCCATCGTGCCCGGGAAGAAAAGCCCAAGATTCAAATATTGGATGCATATTACTTTTATTGTAAAGACAGGAAAGGACACAACATCAAAGATGTATTGTAGTGCAAAGCAGGGCCCAGTTCAATACCATAAAAGACAAAGTGGGCACCAGAAATCAGCACAGAGGATGAGGAAGGAAGAGGAGAGGAGTCTTGCACCTGGGTTAGCAGGGCCCACAGGTGTCCCAGAGCTTCCTGCTGTAGCGGGGCAAGGTGCAGGGGCTGCAGGCAGGAGAAGCATAGGGTCTGCCAAAGGTGCAGAGGCCCCCCGAGCCCTGAGTGGCCCCGGCACCGTAGAGGCCCCCCAGCCCCAGGGAGCCGCCAAAGGCGGGTGCTCCGGAGGAGCCCACCACGGCTTGCTGGGGGAAGGAGCTGAGGATGG